GTTTCCATAGCTACCAATTTTTCTTCTAGGGCTATAAGGCTCCATGGAAAATGTGGTTGAACTCGGCAGGGCTACATCAGGTGAAAAAGAAATCTGTCATGGGTAATATATAATAGCCAATTCTTCGTATCAAAAGAGAATGGGAGCTTTAAACAAGGGAGACCCTAATTTGTCAGATAGTCATGTGCACATACAGATCAACAGAAACTTGTAAACAGCAACACCAAAATCAAATTAGCCTAACTACATAGTTTGAGGTTAATCAGTGGTAGTACAGGGACGTCAGATCCACCATATTATTGTAGGATCTAGCTGATATTTTCCATAAGCTTTTGATATACCAAATCGAAGCCTAGCTACATGTGAACAATTATATACACCAACAACTGGTACGTACCCAGCCTTAGGAAGGCAACATTAAACACCAATACGCGGTGTCCCCCACGAACATGGGAGTGAAATATTCTCCCAGAGCCAAGTTCAGTCAAATTTCGCAATACTTAAGGATTTGGCCCACGAGGCAACAATTCAAAACACTCAACCACATCAAATTTCATTCCCAAAGAGTTTGAATCCTACCTAAGTCTCATCAAGTCCACAAGTACAATCTAGTAAATCCTCATTCCAATGATCACACCTCTCGTCGACTTTCTCTGGCCTCAGCTGGTCACCAAATACACGCCCACGCCGATATTAACACCCGACGGAGGAAACAAAGCGTGGCGCAAAAACCTGGAAGACAGTTCTCAGGGATTTACGTGAGAGGGTTCAGGACAAGTTCGCAAGATGATGCAAAGGAAGGATATAATCTCGACGGGCGTGAGATTTTGAAGATGGGCAAACAGATTTATACATTGAAGAGTATTGTGCACGCCAATATTTTGAATGCAAGGGTGCAGCTGACACTATAAAAACAAGCCAACGATAGAATGCGCGGTAGTCCGCTTCCTGGTGGTATTCTCTGGTATAGTTTGAGTAGCCTAGGCACCTACTTCACTGGGGAAGGAGACGCCTATACCACATTTCGAGCAGAGAAAACTAAATAAATGATGGAGGCACGTCTGGATGACTCAGGGTTTTTGAGACGTTTCCCTGAGTGAGTATTCATGGATGAGGGTTGACTTGGGGTGAAGAAAAAGCCGCCATGACTTCGCAGTGGTACTTGCAAATGAAATCCGAGGTATGAGAGCTCAGTTATAAATGAGTCATCTATTGTGTACTTTTTCTCTAATAGTGTGTCATAGCTAGATAGCTGCATACGCAATTAAAATCTGATGGAAAAAAAACTACCCAGTCTTAAACAGCACCGCCCCCACCAGCCCTAGCATTTCCGTCAGAGCTGTATACAGTGATGGAGGTCGAAAAGCGCCTAACGGCGAAACTTACAGCTCACATCACGATTCGCTCCAGTGAGATGAGCAGTGTCGAAACAGCAATCTCGCCCCTCTCAACGGTTGGGAAAGAGTTAGTAAACCGAATCGAAGTTTACTTATGAACTGTCATCTGTCAATTGAGACAATCTAGGCCAGTAAGTACACCAGTTCTTTTCGCTAGCCTCGGCAACCCTCTTCCTCCAAGGACTCAAAAATTCAGGGTAACAAACCTCTCGACCACCCAGGCTCCAGTCCCTTGGTATTATGATTATGAGGCGAGAAATTGCATACAAACAGTGGCTTTATCAATATGATGTGCTTGACACTACTATGAAGTGGACGGTGATATATGTTCCCTTTATTAGACTCGTTTCCCGATGATTGCTATCTACATGAAGGCGAATACTCCTGTTTATATCTAAAGCTCATTTTTCTAACTGCTAGTAGAATATTCCATCTTGTGATGCAAGATATTCTATCATAAGCTGTAGAATAGTTTAAATTCTTGTTCAAATCATCCAGATGCGACTGTCTATGATGTCACTACACCAACCACATCTTATATATATTTCTATATCATCTAATACAGCTTGACGAATTAGCTGAGTGATCTCACATCATAACACAAAGACCATTTGGAATAGAACAGGTCGAGCAGGCCGTAGCGCTAGGCAATCCAACAAAAAGGCAACACTGCCCGCCCAAAAAGTAAAGAGTTTAATTCGAGGACAATAATTGATTCATGAATATTTCTAAGCCTCTCTCTACATCATCCTCAGCGAATCTTTTCACCGTTTGGCATACAATCAGCCATGTCGCAGGCTCTCGGCACCCCAGCCAACCGCATCACGTTGATCCGGCGGGTTAAAACTAGCTCTGCACTTATAGCAAAGAACGAACTTGCTCAGAAAAAGCTTCTGTATTCCTCCATACTTCAGGTGAAATCTACGATCGATTTGGAACCGGTATCAAATCGAGTTGCCATGTAAATTGCCACCGTCCCAGTGATAATTCGAACCTTTGTAGGCGCAATCACTACGACTACACAGATGGCTGCTGACAAAGTCACGCGAGTGACCAAATCAGTTTCTTTTCTTGTTCGTCACGATAGTACTTGTAAACCTGGAGCACCCTACTAGGGTTGGCAAGGGCTCCTTGCGCGCTAATTAACGCCCCGATCTGAATTCCAACTTATCAATGACTCTGAAGCTGCGAAGCTCTTCTGACCTCGCCAACAAGTCGATTAATGCAAACTCTGTCTTGACTTCAGTGCCAACCGCGATTTCTCACGCGCTCTAGCTAGTTGGAAATATGGATCGAAGATACACTTGAATTGTGAGTGCAAGGCCCTTACTCGATGTCGAAATTTTTGAGGACATCACCGATCGGGTTCTCAGAAGTGCCTTGCTAGACCCAGAAAGTTCGGACCGACAAACAAAGAGCTGCTCGTAGCGATTCGTGGAGTTAATCAGACGAGGTTCTCGGAAGTGGCCTACGTGATAGCTGCGGTCAAAAAAGCAAAAGAGGCTATTATCGCCTCTGCGCAGCACTTCTCAAAGGAGGAAGGATCGGGTTTTGGAGTGCTAGAGTCGGAAAAATAAGCTTGAGGGTTGGGCTGCCCTTTATGAGGTTTACGAAGGCTTCAACAATACAGAGCTAGTAACCGGCCGACAGTGGGCAGCATATGCGAGCTTATCTATTGCTATCTGCAGAAATCAAGGAAATTCGCTTGGAAGCTGTGACGCGAGAGGGATCGAGACAAACAAGGAAATTTTTCTATTTTTGATTTCAATTTTTGATTTACATTTTGATTTTAGTTTTGTTGTTAACTTCTGTGCTTCATGTAGATGTTCGCACAATTGGAATGAGTTGGCACTATATGCAGAGATCCTCACTGGCCCCACCGTTCCTGGACCCAAAGTGGACTTACAGCATATGCTTAGGATCTAATATAATAAAAGCCAGACTGTTATGTACTCAAATATAATTTGACTACTGTGAGTTGTAACCCAGCTATATGTCACCTATCTCAGTAGATGGCCTCTGGGACTCGTTTCCAGCTAAGAATCATCCATTCTGGCAACCCTCTCATAGCTCGATGTGTGCAATTTTACCAACGTCTCATGGGCGTCAAAATCAACTTCTGCGGACAAGGCATGAGTACCCTTGGTCTGTGGACAGCAAGTACCTACATGTGCTGTATAGTCATAGATTGAAAAAGTGCGATAATTGTACCAAACAATGGTAAAAGGGTGACTATTTTTATGCACACTAGTCTACCCCTCTGTGCTACTAGCAGCTTGCAGGAGGTTGGTCTACATAGTCACTCATTTCCTTCTTGCAGCGTCATGTGCCTTAATCAGGAATCTAGATTACCTGAGGTTCCGTTTGGTTTCTTAAATACTGATTCTCATTTCGCTGGTGTTTAAACTCAACTCACCTCAGGGGCTATTTCTCATGCTGCGGCCTGGATCAAAACTTCACAAAAAACGCCAAGAGTACAGTTTCCAGTCGCCTGAAATCCTACCTGTGACAAAAGAGCCGGAGTTGTTTTCAAGCTAATTTTCGGCAAGGCTGCAAGTCTGAATAGTCAAGGATGTTCTTAAATCAGGCTAAGGTAATTCATGGTGATTAGGTCAACATTGCACAAGTAAGGCATGAATTTATGCCGAGCTACACGGGCTATTTGACAAAGCGAAGAAAGTCCTGAACAAAAGCTGCATAGACCTCCACAAAGTCAATCAAGCCTTGCACTGCTCTAATAGCTCGTCTCCGGGCGGGTAGTCCCTATACCCGTAAATCGGCCGGCTAGGGTAATAATACAGGCGTAGAGCTACCTAGTCCTGCGCTTATCTAGCGTCGGAAAGGGACAGAATGCAGAGCTCACGCCGATCCTCTCACTTCCATATGGCTCTCAATTTGGTGCTAGTTCAATTGGAAAGTAGCTGGTTTCTGAATGTCTACGGGCGAGAATATGGGACAAATGAACCACTACTCATGAAAATTTATGTAAATATAGTCATCCCTAATGCTTCTTGGTTACCCTTGCGATTAGATGAGAAAGCTAATCATCACTGTTTCTGAGATGAGACTTGTGAAGTGAGACCGGAAGGGGACGCTGATTGGAGAGACTCAGAGCAACGCTGGGACGGTGATCCAAGCTCATCTCAATAGCTGCTGGCTAGTCAATTCACCTAGCAGATTCCATAATAACACTAGACACAAACTGATCGTAGTAGATGAATGATTTTCCCGTCGTGAAACAAGGCTGATTCATTGATAATGAGGAGGCGGCAGATGCACGCACATTACCAGTAATTAATGCATTAACAAAGGCGACTTTTCCCATCACACTCATTCCATTTCCTAAACAGTCGCTCTTTTCGTCCAGAGTGTGTGCAACTCATCATCTGTACACCGGATCATTGGAACACTTAGCCTCTTTGTGCCGCATACGACTTTGCGCAAAAGTCTGTGACGTCGCTTGCTGCTTGTGCGCTACGAATATTCCGACCAAATCAGGCGACGTTTCACCGTACCAAATTCTACCTGCATCAACGCCAACCTTTGAACCTATTTTCTCTCATTCCCCTCAAATAATATTCTTAGCTGATATTATCATCTTCAATGGCTGGATACCCAGGCGGCGGAGGTGGCTACGAGCATCGGCTGCAGGATCTACCTCCCACCGGTGCTGCAAGTTATCCCTATCCCCACCAATTAAGATCAGAATCCTAACTCTCGGTATCAGTACCACCGACCTCCACAGGAAGATGAAGATGGTCAGCAGCCACTCTTGCTCGATCGCAATCCTCCCCCAAGTCCCTACGAGTCAAATACTCTTCGGACTGGGACACCGCCCATCCGACCGTCCTCAACATATAGTCTCACTGAGACATATGCTGTCCCTGCACCGGCCCCTCTTCCATATAGTTCCGAGTATGGAGCTGCTCCAGCATATGGCCATCAGTTAGAGGACAATCCTTATGGACGCTCAACCTCTCCCTATCCACGGTCAGAAACTAGCTCGACTGAAGCCTGGCGACAACGACAAGCCCCAAGAGCTGGGGCTGGTGGATTAAAGCGATTTGCAACTAGAAAGGTAAAGTTGGTGCAAGGAACTGTTTTGAGCGTAGATCATCCGGTTCCCTCTGCCATAAAAAATGCCGTACAGGCAAAATACACTCAAGATCTTGAAGGGGGCAGCGAAGAGTTTACCACTATGCGGTATACGGCCGCTACCTGCGATCCAGACGAATTTACTCTCAAGAATGGCTATAATCTACGACCCGCTATGTACAATCGTCACACCGAACTTCTTATTGCCATAACTTATTACAATGAAGACAAAAACCTAACGGCACGAACACTTCATGGCGTTATGCAAAATATTCGAGATATTGTAAATCTTAAGAAGTCTGATTTTTGGAATGTCGGTGGACCTGCCTGGCAAAAGATTGTCGTATGTTTAGTTTTTGATGGTATTGACCCTTGTGACAAAGATACTCTTGATGTTCTGGCCACTATTGGTATTTACCAAGATGGTGTTATGAAGAAAGATGTTGACGGCAAGGAGACCGTTGCTCACATATTTGAATATACTACCCAGCTCTCTGTTACAGCTAATCAGCAGCTCATTCGACCCAGCGATGATAACGCAAATACACTACCTCCTGTGCAAATGATGTTCTGTCTCAAACAAAAGAACAGTAAGAAAATCAATTCCCACAGGTGGCTTTTCAACGCTTTTGGCCGCCTTCTTAACCCAGAAGTCTGTATCCTCCTTGACGCTGGCACAAAGCCAGGAACCAAGTCCCTGCTTTCTTTGTGGGAAGGGTTCTATAACGATAAAGATCTAGGTGGAGCTTGTGGTGAAATCCATGCCATGTTAGGTAAGGGTGGACGCAAGCTGTTCAACCCACTTGTTGCTGCACAAAATTTCGAATATAAGATCAGCAACATTCTCGACAAGCCACTAGAAAGTTCATTTGGATATGTTAGTGTCCTTCCCGGTGCTTTTTCAGCATATAGGTTTCGAGCTATTATGGGTCGCCCGCTTGAACAATATTTCCATGGCGATCATACTCTTTCAAAAAAATTAGGCAAAAAAGGAATCGAGGGCATGAATATTTTCAAGAAAAATATGTTCTTAGCCGAAGATCGAATCTTATGTTTCGAACTTGTTGCTAAGGCTGGCTCTAAATGGCATTTAACCTACATCAAAGCTGCCAAGGGCGAGACAGATGTTCCTGAAGGGGCTGCAGAATTCATCGGACAGCGTAGAAGATGGCTCAATGGTTCCTTTGCCGCAAGCATGTACTCTATCATGCATTTTGGTAGAATGTGAGTGAAGGATATTTGTTTGCTTGACAAGTAACGCTAACAATACTAGGTACAAGAGTGGTCACAACATCTTGCGGATGTTTTTCTTGCACGTTCAACTTTTATATAACATGTTTTCTGTCTTTCTCTCCTGGTTCATGCTGGCTTCCTTTTGGCTCACAACCACTGTCATCATGGATCTCGTGGGAACTCCTGTACCTGCTTCGAGCACGTCTTCTGAACACCATGCCTGGCCTTTTGGTGATACGGCAACCCCGATAATTAACACCATCCTAAAGTACCTCTATCTAGCCTTTCTCTTGACCCAATTCATCCTGGCCCTAGGAAATAGACCTAAAGGTTCCAAAATCACTTATCTAGTGTCTTTCGTGGTTTTTGGCTTAATTAATGCTTACTTGATTGTATTATCGATGTACTTGGCTGTACGTGGTATTACGGGCGCATCAATCGATACAGGGAACGTGGGCGTATTCTTTCAAAGTTTCTTTGGAAATTCAGGGGACTCAGGAGGCATAATCATAATTGCTTTACTTGCCACTTTTGGTCTATACTTTGTCGCCTCTTTCATGTATTTGGATCCTTGGCACATGTTTACTTCGTTTGCCCAGTACTTACTTCTTATGTCGTCATACATAAATGTTCTTATGGTTTACGCATTTTCAAACTGGCACGATGTCTCGTGGGGTACCAAGGGATCTGACAAGGCAGATGCACTTCCTTCCGCTACTACTAAAAAAGAAGATGGTAAAGGTGCTGTCATTGAAGAGATTGATAGGCCCCAAGAAGATATTGATAGTCAGTTCGAAGCAACGGTCAAGCGTGCGCTCAAACCATTTGTACCGGAAGTTGAGATAGAGAAGAAAACTCTCGAGGACTCTTACAAATCCTTCCGAACAAAACTACTCATTTCCTGGATATTTTCGAATGCATTATTGTCTGTCTTAATCACTAGTGATAGTTTTGATAGCTTTGGGTTTGCCGTAAGTACTCTACACCTGTCATGTTAGGACTTCATTAACATCACATAGAACGAGGCATCTGTACGCACAGCTAGGTTTTTTACCGTACTCTTATATGCCACGGCTATTTTATCCTTTGTTCGTTTCATTGGGTGCATGTGGTTTTTGGGACGGTCAGGCATTATGTGCTGCTTCATCAGGCGGTAAATTTAATCGAAAGTGGCGCTCCACTAGTTAGACATAATCACGCTTGGAGAGGCCTCAAACGAAATATGCGCTGCCTTCTGTAGATTCTGCGACTCGTAGTGGAGCTTTTTTGGAAATTTAGGGTGGCGTAAAGAAGCTACATGATTATGAAACTGATGATAACTGACGTTGAATATACTTTTATCATCGATGTTTGATTAGATGACGTACCTCGTTCACTCACCACCATGAAATTATACTTAACTGTGTATCAATTACCTTCCTTGGATTGAAGATAGCTGCTATTTAGGTATTCTTTATTTTAGTTGTGCAGGTGCGCAGTTTAGGGTTAAAGACCAATATCTTATTATCTCAATCTAATAGGTGACTCTACAATATAGCACGAAACCTCCCGTTTTCTAGCACTTTACATGTAAAAATAGAATTATCAAAAGTTGCATAGAAAGTAGTACCCTCAAATGACATCTCATCCATTGATTTCGTTTGTTTTCCATCTTCACAGGATGCAGAGCCTCAGTTTCTTCTATCATCTGGCGCTAGTATGTTACTTGTCATCAGACCTTTGTTCCTGTTTTTCCAGGAGAGTTATTGAATAAATCTGCCCCATGAGCAATTAGTTTATCTTTGTGATGCAAGCCCCCATGGTATGCTTTTTATACCTTTTGGATCGGTAAGAGGGTGTTGAGCAGTGTTGTATACAGTAAATTCTTTGATAGAGGAATAATTGACGAGTTGGAGCAGCAGGTGATAAATCCAAGCTTAGAAAAAGATAGAATAGTTTTAGAAGGTGGTCGTTTCATTCTTCATACATGTGCCCGAGAATTACTTCCAACGCGTGGTTTCAAATGAAAAGATCCAAAACGACACCTTTCGAATAGCAACTCAGAAGAAACCCCATAAATTTAATCACAGGAAAAAGCTTCTACTGTATTTTGTGGATAGTACTTACCTCAGTTGCTAAACATTGGCCTTCTTGATATTTACAGTGGGGGTACCGTAGTGACGGAAAAATGCAATGGTGACGAAATGATGAAAAGACAGGGCTCCACGCCCGTATCAGCCCAAGTTCCATCTGGTTGACAGGGGAAGTGAAGTACCAATCCCAACGTACAACAAACGGTTCTCATTGCCATCTCGATATACTCTGGTGGTAGCCATCAATCAAGATGTTAAAAATTTGGTCTATGGTAGGTCATGGAAACTGATATTTTCAGGACAAAGCATGTCTTCTATGTAGAAAACATGGTGGGCTAACTGAGGTCTTGAGCATTACAGAAGCAACAGCAACAAAAGGACGCCAACACAGATGTAGCCACGGGTTCAAGGAAGAAGAAAGTCACTGCTGCTCAGCTTCGCGTGCAAAAAGGTATTTCTGAAGATAGTCTGTTCTTGTCAGCACATAGCATCATGGGAGTGCTTACCATCTGCCCGACTACCCAGATCTCTCTGAACTGTCGCTTCCATCAACAATGCATACGGAGTTTCCGGATCCTGATGATACCCTAAACTTCAATCTTTCCATAGAGCCAGATGAAGGCATGTATAGGGGCGGGCACTTTCGCTTCACATTTGCTATTTCACAGAACTTCCCACACGAGGCGCCCAAAGTGAAGTGTGTACAGAAAATCTACCATCCAAATATCGACTTGGATGGAAACATCTGTCTCAATATCCTACGCGAGGACTGGAAACCAGTGCTAAATTTACAAAGTATCTTGGTTGGGTTACAAGTAGGTTTCCAACAGTACTGCCCAGGGAGGAGAACTGTTGAGGTTGGTTAGGCCCTTTCTAGTCACTAATAATGTCTTAGTTTTTGTTTCTTGAGCCTAATGCGTCGGATCCTCTGAACAAGGAAGCCGCCGAGGATTTAAGGGGTCAAATAGAGGTGTTCAAGAAAAATGTGAAGACTAGCATGGCAGGCGGTACTGTGAGAGGAGAATCTTTTGATAAAGTTTTAAAAGCTTGACGAGTCTTTCTGGTTACATGAGAGCTGCTTAGCTGGGTGACTGGAAGATGAGTGCTCATGATACGGGAGTTGAAAAATCACTGGCAATTGGTAATTCCCTTGTCATTTACTCTCGCTCCTCTCATCATCTCCAAAATATAAGGAAAAAATCTCAGAAGATCATCGCGGGCGGACCTTGAGGTTTGAATTCCAGAAGCTGTGATGTTAAGATATCTCAAACTTCTGATGCTCTCTTGGTATTTGATATCTTGGCCTGGCTATTTCAGACCTCTCAACTGCTATTGGCTCGGTCTGTCAGTTTCATGGGCCTCTTTACTCACCTCCATTCAACATCTGGCGCACCTAGGTCCTCGGTCTTGCAAATCTTCTCCTTTTGATCCCGTCTTTTCACGTCCCCATCCTTATCCTCCGTATAATTTAAAACATATTTTTGGACCCAGAAGTAAGGGAGATGAATGTTTTGTTTAACCGTACTTTCTATGAAGGGTATGAAGCGTCTTAAGCAAATATTTAAAGGGGCCCTTATGGAACTTGCTGAAAACACCTAACTTTCCTTGTAGATACATCACGGGACAACGAGCGTATGTGCTCAAGTCTTGTTAGGATCAACAATAAACACAAACTATAGAGCCACTCGCATCGTTAGGCTAAACAATGCATTATCTGAATCCATGTTATAATTAAATTTTTTACATGCAAGTCACATATCCCTCGCATCATGGCCATCACAAGGTAATTACCGGTCCGGCGTAGCTTTGTACTCGTGTCACTTATACTACTAAAAGTTCGTTTTGTATGTTGATACCCACCATCTTCTATCCGCTGAGACAGTTTTACCGCGTCCCTATCCTATTTGCAATGTGATAGACTACCGTTTGCGTATTTTAGCAACTTTTACGATAGTAAGATGTATCCGCTAAATAAATTTTCTCAATTTTCACAGTACACCAATGAAAACTTCAATTCTCATTTAGAGTTACTTTAGGATTATAGGAGATAGCATGCTGATCCTTGATCAATTGGCTATAAAGCTCCTACTGCCTCATCGAGTACATGGTCTAGAGTGTTCACAAGAAGTAAGAAATGGGATTTCCAAGCTCACAATCGGTACAATGAACATATACCATGTTCTGTTAATTTTCAACCAAGCTAAGTATTCAAATACTGGCTAGAGCTGCTCCTTCAGGACCTGAGATATTGCACACGTTGCAATATTATCCAGCAAGAACTTTAGCCTTCCTTCTTCCAGATTACAGCTATTTTCTTCTCCTATTGCAGTGCGTTTTGGCAAATTCGTAGTACTGCTCACCTTCAAACTTACAGTCCTACAGCGACCAAAAATTTTCTACATTTCTTGCAGCACAGGCCTCACTTTGAGCGGCTCAAGTTATCTGAACCGTTACTTGGGCCCTTTTTCCGGCAAATGCTATCGGCAAAAACACCATTAGCTGGAGGCTGCAGTGCTATTTGTCGGATTCGAGAGCTATTGCGTGGCCCAAGTTACCTGAATTTCTAAATTTTCAGGACTGAGTGAGGAAGTCCGAGAGCTTGACCTGGAGAGTCACATATTCAGTCTAGCCATGGTAAGAAGTTTATGGCTTAGAGATCGTTGCTTCGGACTTATTGCACAGGAATGACCGGCTAGCCAGAAACCAATCGTCGTAGTCTTTGGTGGATCTTGTGAACCTTGTTAGAAGGAGGGTCCCAAGCACTGAAATGTGAAATTCTATTAAACATTGAGATCTTGCTATGAACACGTTGTAGTACAACAACTTCACTGAACGCTCTTTATCGGCTTGAGGACATCTTGTTTTGCTCAGTCGGTCAATGATGAATCATTACTTCAATATCGTCGAAATCCCATGATTGTCTTTCCCGGCGGGATTAGGCCGGACGACTCAACGACTATCGGGTTGTTTTTTTAGTTATTTATTGTGTATGCACCTCTTTAGCTGTAACACATGGTAGTGTCTCATTTACAAATTGTGTGACTCCTCTGACATTAGAAACACTCATATCCTGGATTTCATTCGCAAATACCACTGTGGTGTGTATTCGATTTCACCGAACTATCGACCACCCTCTGTGAGTACCCGACGAAGGTGAATTCTAGACCTTTGGTTATCTAAGTATGCCTTAGTCACCCATGCCCAAGCGCACCTCCAGAAATGTGGAGCCTTGCTGGATTTGAACCGGCCATGTCCTATCGCGAGTGGGATAGTTGTCCAAGCTATCCAGGCTCTACTTGAGAGACTGGGTTTAGATGATCTACCACTGAACTATCCAGCTGTTGAAGTGTTTACAGTGCCGCTTTGAGCCTCAAAATCGAAGTCGTGGAGAGCACAAAGCTCTCCTACGTGAAAATCTTCTTCCTAGAAATGGAAAAATGATATTTCATAAGATCATATACATTCTTGGCATAATCTTGTCCATCTATTCATCTATCTCTCTCGTTCACCTCAAAGATCTGCCTCCCGAATTTGTGCACCAAGCTTTTCGTGGTCCGGTGAATACTCATGTCCTCGGTGCCGTGTATATGGAGGCCAGAGACCGATTTGACAAAAAGTGTGGTCACTGAAAAGAGGATGTACTAGATCTTACTTGTAGGGTTGATGAGGCTTTCATGGGAATCGATCTTATTGGGAGAGAGAAATTGATTTGGTTACGGAGCCTTGAATCATTGTCTCGTGGTCCAACTTCTTAGGTATAGCAAAATTTGACTGATCTTGTATCTGGGGGGGGGGGTGGTTTCGTTCCCAGGCTCGTAGAGTACAACTCGGAAGGATATTCAGTCTTAATCCTCCAATTGTTTATATCATAGCCTATGAATACATCTCTTTCCTGGAATGTCCTGCTTCGAGACCCAGACTACGTGGGAACTGCGCTCTCTACCTTGTAGAATGGATAAATAGATGTAAGTTTGATAAGCTTGAGTTAAAAAGATACGCCGGGATGCTGCTCTGACTAGTCTCCATCGTAAATTCTGGATAGTTTATTCACCTTATCTCTTCAAGATTGGAGCTCACTAGCTGCC